GGGGCTTATGAACAACCTTGGCACCGCACTGTTGAATCGCTTCGAGCGGCGGGGCAATCTCGCAAATATTGACCGGGCGATTTCAGTGGAAGAGGACGCAGTACGCCTCACTCCTCATGACCATCCTGACAAGCCGAGGTATTTGAGCAGCCTTGGCACCGCACTGTTGACTCGCTTCGAGCGGCTGGGCAATCTCGCAGATATTGACCGGGCGATTTCAGTGGAAGAGGACGCAGCACGCCTCCCTCCTCATGACCATCCTGACAAGCCGAGGTATTTGAACAACGTTGGCACCGCACTGTTGAATCGCTTCGAGCGGCTGGGCAATCTCGCAGATATTGACCGGGCGATTTTAGTGCGAGAGGACGCAGTACGCCTCGCTCCTCATGACCATCCTGACAAGCCGAGGTATTTGAACAACCTTGGCACCGTACTGTTGACTCGCTTCAAGCGGCTGGGAAATCTCGCAGATATTGACCGGGCGATTTCAGTGGAAGAGGACGCAGTACGCCTCATTCCTCATGACCACCCTGACAAGCCGACATGTTTGAGCAACCTAGGCAGCTCGTTATTTACCCGCTTCAAGCATCTCCACGATGTTGCTTCTCTCAATAATGCTATATTGGCTTTCTCTGCCGCCGCCCGTTCATCAGCAGGTCCCTCTTCCGTTCGTCTTCGGGCAGCCTTGCAATGGATTCGTTGCGCTCATCTTATTCCCTCCGAATCTCTTCTTAATGCCTACGCCTTAGCCATTGACCTAATCCCTCAGGCAGCATGGCTTGGTCTCCCCCTCCAAGACCGTCACCGCGAACTCCTAGTACGAGCGGCAGATGTTGTACGAGATGCAGCAGCCGATGCTCTGGCACGTGGGTACTACAACACAGCTGTTGAAAGGCTCGAGCTGAGCCGTTCAGTTGTTTGGAGCCAGCTGTTGCAGCTTCGCACCCCCCTCGATGAGCTGCAGAGTCGTGATTCAACGCTTGCGAATAGACTCCGTCAAGTCTCGTATGAATTGGAACAGGGTAGTGGCAATGACATGATTAGAATTGAGATGAAGAATGATATTAAGTTATCCCTGGAGGAACAGGTTGGGCGATACTATGGACTCGCAATGGAGCGCGAAACGATTCTCTCAGAGGTCCGGTGCCTTCCCGGTCTTGAAAGATTTTTGCTGCCAAAGACTGTTTCACAACTCGCTCCTTCGGCACATTCAGGACCCGTCGTGATCCTCAACGCTAGCCAGTACGGATGCGACGCATTGGTTCTCCTGGCTGAATCAGACGATGTGCTTCATGTCCCTCTCGCTGATATCACATACGACCAAGTGCAGAAATTGCAGGAATCCCTCAATCAACTACTTTCCGAGAATGGCCGTGTCCTTTCGCCGATGGACAGGGCTATTGAATTTTCACCAATAAACCGAAGTCCTGATGAATCATTTAAGCTCATTCTCTCGGTATTGTGGAAGAAGGTTGTACGACCGGTGTTGGATGCCCTTGCTCTTTCGGTGTGTGCTATACTATTGATGTCCTGAGTGACAGCTCACATTTGAGCTCTCAATCTAGACTCCAAATGCGGGAGAACTGTCTCGGGTTTTCTGGTGTCCCACTGGTCCATTTTCATTCCTCCCCATCCATGCTGCAGGTCTTTATGACGACGCCGATACAGGACCGAAGCTCTCGGATTTCGTCATCTCGTCTTATACACCCACCCTCAGTGCTCTCGCCCTACCATCGCATGAAGGCACTACTGCAAATACCATGTGCCTTGCTGTTGTCCCTCAGCCGGCATCAGACGGGCTGACTCGGCTGCCAGGTGCACAAATAGAGATTGGACATATCAAGACGATGCTTCAAAGCTCTCCATCTACCCCCGTCTCACTCGTGGAGTCCATCGGTACCGTGGACGATGTACTGACCAAGATGAAGGAATCAGACTGGATCCATATCGCGTGCCACGGAGTGCAAAACGCCCACAGTCCCCTCGACAGTGGAATTGTGCTTGCTGGTGGCCGTCACTTGATGCTTAGGGACGTTATCAAGTTGGCGCGTCGTCGTGGAGGACTTGCGTTCCTCTCCGCCTGCCAGACCGCTACGGGCAATGAAGACCTTCCCAAAGAGGCCGTTAATCTTGCTACAGGCATGCTGCTCGCTGGTTATGGCGGAGTAGTTTCCACGATGTGGTCGATAAAGGACAGTGACGCGCCTGAGGTGGTGAAGAGCGTGTATGAACAACTGTTCCAGGATGGCAATCTGCCCGACTACAGGCAGGCTGCAAAGGCATTGCACTACGCGGTCAAGCGTCTTCGCGAGGAGCATAACGTGCCTTTTGTGTCATGGGCTTCGTTCGTACATATCGGTCTGTGATGCATTTCGTTGACTTGTAGTTACATTCATGACTCGTTTCACGTACGCCGCATATACGCTTCGTCATTATGGGAATCAGCATGCGGATGATAAGCACACTTAGTATATATTCTCACATCATCCGTGCGAGCAATCTTGGTCGTCATTTGGGGCTGAAGATGATTGCGCATCCATCAGGTTCCCTGGCTAACGACTTTTTTGCACGCTGAACAAATAAAAGCAACCTCTGTTGCGTTATGTGCTCCAACCTCTCCCAGCGGCTCGCTCAATACTCAGCGTAACAGAAAACCACATCAGGACTCCAAAACAAACAAGGTCATAAACCTCAAGTACGTCAGACCATATGATTATATCCACTCATTGTCTTAGTACCTGCGCCTCGTCACATTCACATACTAATGTCTGCATGGTCGGCACTCGATCCAACGTGCGCTGTGTCCGCGTAGCCCGCGTTCGACCCTGTCTTTCCTGCTTCATCGCCAAAAACACCTACTGATCCGCCCTACGGCGGTCCGATTTGGAGAGGACGGTGTTGTAGATTGGTTTTGCTTACTTCGTCTGCGACGCCTGATCCTCGCCACCAAAGCGGCCCACATAGCAGATGTTTGTGGCGAAGGGTACGCTGAGGCGTTCCTTCGGCCAGTGTTGTAGAATGCTAGCGAGAGGAGTGGTTACCAACTCAATGGCGTTAGGTATAGGGGGTGGTCGGTGCTTGCGTGCCAGGACTTGGAAGACAGAGCGGTGCCCGCAACTGGCGTGTATATACCCACCTGCGCCAGCATCCGCTAGCTTCCACTGTTTGTTCCCTCCGATCTGGTGAACTCATGCGGGTTAATCGGAGTATCGAGCACCCAAAGTCAAACTTGTCCTCTGCAGCTCGGGCTGACCTCAGAGAGCGGAACAATTCACGGTAGGTTTAGATAGATGGAGATGTCAAGTGCGGAAATAAGACTTAAAGTGATAGACGACCCCTGTCGGCTTAGTCAGCAATTCTCCGGAGAGCACTGAAACAGAAGTGCGCACCTGCAACTTGTCCATTACTACCACTACCATTATGATCCGCACTCTTCTGGCCTCTCATCCCCTAGGTTTTACACTCGCCGGAAAGTTCCTCTGAACCATAGCTCACATACGCCATTGGACTGTTATTTCTTTGTCCCTAGAACTGGTGGACCTCGCTCTCCAGACATTACAGAACATCAGGATAAAGGTTGTGGAATGGCGTGCACTGCTTCCCAGACGCATGGATATTCCCCGTCTAGTTATCAGGGTGAAGAATGATGCACCAACTTATTCTTAGCTCGCAAATGTCGCTCACGTCTAGCAAGACTGACTTGTATGTGGTGTCCGACGAAGACTTTGGCGTCGCGTCGCGTCTCGTAGCCTCGAGGCTCTCGATCCTCCATTATCCCCTTTGTCTAATTTCATGCTCAATGTGAAGGGCGATATAGCAGCGAAAGGTTGCCTCTATCGGATATCGCAAGACACATCACCTTCGTCAATTCAGCACTTCAGTCTATACCCTCTCTCGTTCGCGTCTAAATCTCTACCTGAGCTCTTGGAAGGGTCGCCGCTGCATCTGTCTCCATCTCGGTGCCTGGATATTCTTTTTCCACGTCCATCGGCCGTATATGCGTCGATCATGCGCATGATGCTCTGCTGTCCACAATACCCGCACGCGGAGACCGCTAGAGGCAGACGTGTCGGAGCTGATCATGTACCATCTTCTGGGATGCACCCTCGAAGATGACGACGGTGATGATGAAGAGCAGAGTGAAGACGATAACAGACGAGTAACTGTGGCTGTCCAGATCATCAAGGATTGTGGAGTAAAGCGGGAATGGAAAGAAGACGAGGAGTGGGTGGGTGATGCCATGGCGAGCATCGTTTTAGGAGACGGGTATGTCAGGTATTTACCTTCGCAATGCTAATATCAGGCAGATCCTGTGTAACTCGCGACGTTGTTTGCTTGGGCCCTTGATGTTCGATGACATACAGCAGGGGGACAAAGCTGACCAATCCGGTATAGGAAGATATGGTTTGTGTGTTCTGCTAGTAACCAGCGAGGGAAGGTCGCACATGTGATGACGTGTAATAGTTATACACACACTCCCGGATACCGCGCCAAAGCAGAACGCATTATCTCGAAACCTCCGGCAGCTCGGATTCCCGTATGCATTGCATCGGAGGCTTTGCATGGGCGCTGCTGGGTAGCCACTGCATTTATTCCATCTCGCAATACGCTCTAGCACGAGTCGTCGATGTGCTGGGACCCGCTGGACCATGCACAGCGCGATATTGTTAGGCTATCAAGCAGCCGCGGATGCAGACGAGTAGCGCGGTCATCGAGACATTACCAGTACAGGCGGGCACGCTTGGCCTGCTCCAGAATTTCGACCCGCTGTTCGTCCTCGAACGCAATGCCTTGTGTGGCCCAACATGCCGCTCACTCCCAGCGACCCCGATCCTCTATCTGTTCGTGCTCGTCCTGACCAGAATGCAGCGCATATCCTGGCATGCCACCGGTGGATTGCTCGCAGAGCAACGTGGCACCATGGTGTAGAACTCACTACTGGAGTTTTCCTAATTGAGCACCTCTTCCAAGTATCCCTTGCATTATTGTCTTGGGAAACGAGTCAGCCTGCAGCCTGGGGAACTGATCTCAGGTTTTCTGGCGTCCCACAATCCGACTCCCGCTGAATCCGGCATGCTCATCGGGTTTGGCTTGTACGCGAGCAAATCAAAGGACCAGATGCGGATGTTGTCAGTCTGCTCCGCGGCCGTTCGGTTCGCGGAGGACGACGGGCTCAGGACTTTGATGGGATCTCCTGTAACGTGCTAGATGGCACCCGTGAAGTGGAGCGGATGACCCAGTAAGCTCCTAGACTCGCTTTCAACTTGATATGTGCAGTCACTGCAGCGTGCCGGCTCATCGAAGTCCGTATCGCCGCATTTCCCGGACTCAGCACACAAGTAGATGGAATACACGAACCCAGGGGGCGCGAAGAGAATTTCATTTTCGCGAGTACGAAGGTTTCTGCATTCGTCGCACTCCGGGGAAGGGCGACAAACGGATATCCTCTTGAACCTGCTGATATGGCGTTATCCCTAGAAGAGACATGGCAGCTTGAGCAATGTCAGCTTTAAAGAATCGACAGATGCCCGGCCTTCTCCCATCTCGAGTCCATGGATACCATACGAGATGAAAACTGACTGTCATTTCCGCCCACACGTATATACTTGGGATTCGGATATACTTTACTCGCTACAAGCAGCGCCGCCCCACTCTATGAAGGTGCCACAGCACCAGGATGTGTATCTGCAACATGTAACACGTAAACAAACGCAGCCGCGCACAGACGGAGGGGGCACAAACGCGGATAAAAGACGGGTGAGAAAGGGCATTATACAGAAGTAGGTCCTATGGATATGGATATGTATACGGGCACGACGGGGCGGACGGAGCACACAATACAACACGACACGATACAAGATGCACACGAAACAGTGGCAAGCGTGGAAGGCCTGCGGGTCAATGCGTAAATGCCCTGTTCCCCAAATAGCGCGAGATGGCAAGAACAACGCGCAGAGAACGGCGAGGGGTGACGCGCGCAAATTACTCTGCACTTGCTGAAATCGGTGTGGGTACTGGGTCCTCAGGTGCTGCGAGCGCGCCTTCGGGAACGCCCTCACCGAGCCGGGAGTCGCCGACCTGGTGGAAGTCTGGAAAGCCTCACATCAGTACACGCACGCCTAGATACGCGAGGGAACAAGGGTAACAGAGACGATGACGCACCGAGGATCTCGCTATACATCATGACCTTCCACGTGTCGACGGGTAAATCTGCATCATTGAAACTCCAGTCGAATTTTTCTGCTGCCTCTGGCTCGTCAGTCGGATCGTGGTATGGGGCTACATATTCGTGCGCAAGCGAGTCAGTTGCATCGATTCGTTTTCTAGGGTCGAACACAAGCATCTTCTCGAGCAGATCGATCGCTGTGTAGCAAACGGACAGCATATAAGCACCCGATGCACGATCTGCTGATACGGTTACATAGCAGCACGCACCAACTGGGTCTTTACATGTCAGCTTCTCGCTGAACGGCACTCGTTCCCGTTTGGGTAAGCTCTGCACGAATCGCAGGGTCTGCGCGAGGCTAGTCAAGCGGTATCCGGTAGATATGAAATGGAAATGCTGCTTACGTTCTCGCTTGCAATAGTCTGGATGACGTCTTCTGGGGGTGTGCCCAAAAGTTCCGTAATAATGGAGAATTGATGTACATCTACATGCAATATAACCCGAGACGAGTAAACAGCAAAACCCAAATCAGAACGAAACCAAGTATGAATGAGTGCGATACGTACGGTCTTTTCCAGGGAAGAGCGGTTTGCCCTCGAGCATCTCTGCGAAGATGCATCCTGCACTCCAGATATCTACCGCGACGTCATATTTTTGCCAAGTGAGCATGATCTCCGGTGCGCGGTAGTACCGCGTTGAGACATAGCCAGTCATTTGCGGATCTTGAATTCGCGCAAGGCCAAAGTCACAAATCTGGCGTAGGGGGAAGGACCAAAGCGATAGTCAAGTTAGAAACTACATAGTTCGCGCTAGGGGAGCGAAGACGGACCTTGAGATCGCAGTTCTCATTGATGAGAATGTTGCTCGGTTTCTGGTACGTACCAATGTCAGATTGAAGTCGGCTGACCGGTGTGGAGGCGCTTACCAGGTCTCGATGGACCACACCGGCCGAGTGGACATATTTAAGGCCTCGCTGCATACGGTAATGGGTTGACGATGACGCGACAGATGAATGGAAGAGACCCTGCTTACGAGTATTTGGTATAGGAAGTATTGAATGAATTGCTTCTCGAGCGGTCGTGAGGTAAGTAAACGATGAAGGTCAGTACCAAGGAGCTCCGTGACGAAATAGCTGTTGCGAGATCAGCGTAGAAGCATTATATTGGAGCAGCAATACCGACATGTCTTCCAGTGGTGAGATGAAAACATCACTGAGACTGATGATCTAGCATTAAGACATGCAAATAAGCAATGAAAAGTTTCCATAAAAGTATCGATATTAGTACATTTTCGTGCTGAATGTGTTTGAGGAGCTTCAGCTCGCGGTAGGTGCGCTTGGAGAGGACAGGGGTGCTGAAAGGCTTCATGATCTTCTTGATCGCAACCGACGATCCTGTAAGCTGGTCTTTTGCCGAGCTGTGAAGGATGCGTAAATGCGGGAGTCACCTGGACGCCTATGGCAAACAAGGAACACACCAGACAAGACCAAAGGCACCTGGAGATGGGAGGATAAGAGAACGCTATGGGGACAATAAACTTAGCAACTGACCCATTCCGACAGGCTGAAGGTCGACATATCGAGTGGTGACCTGTCTTGAAGAGTGAGTAGGAGCTGCAAGGGAGAGGGAGGGGGAAATGGATCGATGAGAAGATACGTGCCTCGAATGATGTGCCAAATATGCTTAATTTGACGAAGGACATCTGGGAGTAGAGGCAATGGGTGGGGCGGTGGGACGGGGAGAGGCGTCTGCGGGGACGAGGAGGAGCAAGTGGTGGCAGGAAGGACAGAGGCAAGGGCTGAAAACTGACGGGATGGCTGGTGGAGCGAGTGGGCGACTGTCTGCTCGTCCTCGTCCTCCCCTTCATGGCCATTACGTAAGCGAACGATCGCACCCTCGCTGCCCGATCATTCCTCGTCTTCGCTCCCCCTCTCTCTGCACCCGCCACCCTGTCTGTTGCCGCCGTTCGAGCATAGCTGCAAGCTCCTCTCACTCACCGTCCAGATAATTTTCGAGACATTTCTGGCGGATATCGCACGAAAACTGGAGGAGCTGGGAGGCGAGCAATGACGTCGCTGGTGATTACGATCTGCGGGGGGCCGTGAGAGGTCGTGCAGGTCCTGAGCCACACCTCCGCCCTCGCTGCCTCTGGTAATTCAAGATTATTCATAACCCTTCCAGCCTTTGCCTTCGTCGTCGTTCTCATTGCGCTTTTCGTCCCGACAACGTGGTGGTGGAATGCGAATATTTTGGTGGGACAGGTCCAAATGGAGCCGGGCCCAGCCCTTGTCGACTGGTGCCGCCCGAAATGCACCGAGCGTCTATGCTCGGCTTGCGGCGCCTTTGCCGTGACGCAACCCCGCACTGCAGCTGGCGTTCTCATTTATATAAATCTCCCAGCTGGCCCCCGTTGCCATCTACAGCCATGTCTTTTGCCAGGGCCGCGCTTTCATCTCGTGCGTTCGCAGTAAGCCTCTCTTTCTGTTCTCGTCTCGCGCCAAACGGAACTCTACACTCATGACATCTGTCCACAGCGCCAGGTCGCACGTCGATATTCGACCACTCCCGAGGCCGCAAAGCCTTCTAACCTCCCATATTACCTTGGCGGTGCAGGTTTGTATCTGGTTCGCGCATACACGCGAGCCTTAGTCCTCACGCTCGCGTTTGTCAGGCGTCGCCGGCCTCGCAGGATACGTCTACCTCAATTCAGGTTCACAGGCTGCCGCGAAGGCCGAACCGCCAAAAAAGGCGCAGGAAAAGAGCCCGCTCGACCCCGAAAACTTTGTCGATTTCAAGCTCAAGCGTGTAGAGCCATACAACCACAACACCGCCAGGTGTGTCATACGTTTTCCCGGTCTGCAGCTCTCCCGTCTGACTCTCGCTTATGCGTGCAGATACATCTTCGAGCTTCCAGATGGCCAGGCATCTCTTCTCCCTGTCGCCTCCTGCGTAGTTGTCAAGTCGCCCGACGATGCCCCCAACGCGCTCAAGGGCCCCAACGGCAAGCCCGTCATCCGCCCATATACGCCCGTGTCCCCACCTGACCTCCCGGGCGAGTTCATATTCCTCATCAAGCGTTACGATGAGGGTAAGATGTCCAAGCACATCTCCGAGCTTCAGCCAGGCGAGTCGCTCGCGATCAAGGGGCCTATCATGAAGATCCCTTACAAAGGTGCGTATATGCTCTATGCTTGTGAAGAGAATGACCCACGCTGCATCCGATATCCAGCGAACGAGTTTGAGCAGGTTGGCATGATTGCAGGCGGTAGCGGCATGTGAGTGTACGCGCTACATTCCCCTTCCTTGCTCGTCTAATGGGCGTATACAGTACCCCCATGTACCAAGTGCTCAAGCACGCACTCGCAGACCCTACGAACACGACCCGCTTCACGCTGGTCTTTGCAAACGTCACAGAAAAAGATATCCTTCTCCGCGACGAGTTCGACGCGCTAAAGAAGGCACACCCGGATACGCTCGACGTCGTCTACACCCTCGACCAGGCAGACGACAGCTGGAAAGGGTACAAAGGGTATGTGAACAAGGAGATAATCACGCAGCACATCGGGCCTGCCAGCCTCGGTAGCAAAGTCAAGGTCTTCGTGTGCGGTGAGTGCTGCTGTCACTCCGCTACTGAGGGTGAGGCTCACACGTACTGTTCACAGGCCCGCCTGGCCAGGTGAGTGCGATCGCAGGGAAGAAGGATGGGATGAAGCAGGGCGAACTGGGAGGCATTTTGAAAGAGCTCGGGTACACCGAGGACCAGGTGTGTCGTCTTTACATCCGGTAGTGAGGTGTTGATTAATGGCTCGTGGGCGGGCGCAGGTCTTCAAGTTCTAAGTGCGCACGCGGCTCGGCACGTCTTGCATAGACGCGACACACCCTATCACTGCTGTATCTTTAGACGCTGCGAAATTCTATCATCACTCCAATCATTGTAGGTGCAGCCCTTGTTTTTTCAGCGTTTCAGGTATGTGCCTCCTGTACAATGCAGAAAACTGTGTCGGTTTTGCAGTCATGCATTGGTGCGCGCATCGCGCTGCGGAAGGTGTACACACAACATGATCTGTAGAGTTCAACTTGTCCAATCTACATATGCTCCAGCAACGTAGATAAATGATCCATGTATGATACACAGAAACTAATTACAAACACTGACAACGTTTGCTTTATGCCGACTCTGCTTCAAGAACGTCCGTGATCATCGCTAACTCCTTCCCTTCCTCTACCATGTCTCCCTTCGCGCACCCAACGGCCCGCACTACACCGTCCGCTGCCGCTCTGAGCACCGTCTCTGTCTTCATGCTCTCCAAGACCACTATCGCATCACCCTGTTTGACCTGATCGCCCACCTTGACCTTGACCTCTACGACCACGCTGGGCATCGGCGCCTTAAGCGTCCCCTTCGCCGCGCCCATTGTCGACGCCGAGAGCGAGGCGAGCCATTGCGGCGGCGGGACGAGCAGCGCAATCCTTCGCGATCCGTGGAAGACGTGCAGCTTCTCCCCCATCTGCGACGAGGCAGCCATGGCGCGCTGGGACACAATCGTCGTGCGCAGCACCGCGCCCCCGAGAGTCGTCGAGAGCATTGTGCCGTCCAGGATCTCCGCCGAGACGCCTGCAAACGTCTTCTCGCCGTTCTCCGTGCGCACAGAGACGTCGAACCGGCCTGGTGCGCCTGGCAGCGATTTGACCGAGACGGTGATCGACGGACGGTCCTGTACGTCGTCCGCTGATCCCTCCACGGTGTGCTGCAGAGTGACCGTCCTCTCGTAGGCGTCGCCGCCGAATCTCCTCGATGCAAGCGACGTCCACGGAGACGAACTAGCGGCAGACCGCACCTGCGGGTGCTCCCGTAGTACAACGAAGAGCGCTGCTTGCACCAGTATCTCCGGCGTCGGCTCTTCTGGACGCGGGAACAGCTTCGCGTGGTGTTTCTTGCGTGAAATTTAAGCATCAGCCGCGCTTTCTCGTGCGTGGGGTGGGTCGACTGACCTGGATGAAACCGGTTTCCACGTCGCCGTCAACGAACGCGGCGTGCTCCGCCAAGTCTCTCAAGAACTCCACGTTCGTCTGCACGCCCACCACTCGATACTCGTCCAACGCACGTCTCAGCATCCTCAGCGCCTCAACACGATCACGCCCGTGCGCAATGAGTTTCGCGATCATCGGATCGTAGAACACGCCAATCTGCGCACCCTGGAGGAACCCTTGCTCGAGCCGTACAGAGGGCGTGATTGCGGTAGAAATGTGTTCTGGGGGCGTGAACAGCGTCGGATCGGAAGAGCCGCCGTTTTGGTCGTCCCGGGTGGGCACTGACGGAGCAAAGGTGCATGTCGGTGCAGGGGTGGAGAGGTACAGCAGCCGGCCGGAATCGGGCATGAATCCATTGCGTGGATTTTCTGCGTATATGCGTGCCTCAAATGCATGGCCGACAAGTGGAATTTGTGATTGCGAGAGCGGAAGTGGATTGCCTGTTGCAACCTGCAGTTGGATTATTGAATTTAACGTCTCCGAAGGATGAGACACGGTGAACGCGCCATACCTCGAGTTGCCATTGAACTAAATCCACACCGGTGATCATTTCTGTAACCGGATGCTCGACTTGCAGTCGTGTGTTCCTGAAAATTGGCGAGGAATAATTAGCTGTGAATACAAACCGCCGACACAAGAACGCATACATCTCCATAAAGAAAAATTCGTTTGTATCTCTGTCCAGGATGAATTCCACAGTCCCAGCCCCCACATAGCCGACCGCCCGTGCAGCCGCTACTGCTTTCTTGCTCAACTCGGATCGCAACTCAGGCGACAAGCCAGGAGCTGGGGCCTGCATCGCCAAACGGTAAACGTGCCGATACAGTATGACCAAACAAGAATTTGGCACACACCTCTTCGATAATCTTCTGGTTCCTCCGCTGTACAGAGCAATCTCGCTCCCACAGACTTACGCACCCCCCATCGCGGTCAGCAAACACTTGTACCTCGACGTGTCGTGGTCGTTTAATGTACCGTTCAACAAGTACCTCTTCACGCCCAAATGCACCTCGCGCCTCGCGCTGGGCACTGGCAAGCGCATCCACAAACTGTGCGGGAGAGTCGACAGCACGCATCCCACGGCCACCACCGCCGTGGGTGGCTTTAATGAGTACCGGGTAGCCTGGTAGAATTACGATGTGTATTTGAGATAGGAATGGCAGACTGAAATAGGCAAGAACCTGCCTATTAATTCTGCTTGCCGTGCAAGAAATTCCGGATCTTGGTTCGACCCGTGGTACCCTGGGACAACCGGGACGCCAGCATCTGTTAAACAACAGACAGCACCAGTGAGCGATGCACCAGAACTCGAGAGAGATAGAAATACCTGCCATGATTGTCTTTGATTCACTGGAGAAAACATGTATGTTAGCATAGCCCCTAGATGTGGTAGGAAGCCCCCAAAAAGTGATTTTGACCTCTTAGAACCCATACTAACAATCGCACTGGCAGGCGGCCCGATGAATACGACACCTGCGGAGGCGAGCTGTTCCGCAAAATCGGCATTTTCGCTTAGGAAACCGTACCCGGGATGAACAGCCTATATAGAACACAGTTGGGGATTTGGGCACGAAAATGACGAGGAAGATCGGGTACCTGGGCGCCGCTGCGATGGCAGACTTCAATGATCTTGTCGATACGGAGCTGTGTACAAGCATTCATGAAGAGACGGTCCTTTCATTGAAGTACAAGGCGTCTCACGTAGCTTTCCGAAGATGCGGCAGGTCCAATGCAGTACGCTTCATCCGCCTGTCAATTGACAATGGATGAATAAGTATTAACACGATGGTCTCAATCGAATCAAGGATATGCATACCAATTGAACATGCAACGAATTTGCGTCGACCTCACTGTATACTGCAACAGTCTTGATGCCCAATTTTCTCGCAGTGCGTATGACTCTGCACGCAATCTCGCCTCTACAGCACACCATAAGGATGGATAATGTATAAATGATACGCATATATTGTCAGTCTACCCCCCAAGAAGGTACCACGCACCGATTGGCAATGAGGATCTTGTCAAAATGAGGCTTTCTGGAGACCGGGCTAACTAAAGGAGAAGATAAAGAGGCAGTATTCACAGCTTCTAGAGCAGGACAGGTGCATGTTTAGCAGTCTAGTTGCATCCAGTAAGGCCTGTATGACACGGGAACTAACCTGGTGCAGACGCAAACCCTCGAACTCGAGATGGAGCTGGAGCTGAAGGCCTTATTGAAGACGCCGTGTTTACAGAATGAGGGAGACCGAGGCGCACAGCAGGCCCACGACTGCTCGAGACAGCATCTCTCGTCGCAATGCGGGGTAAGGAACGCGACGCGATCGACCTCTGAGACTTGGATAACATGTTGTTCCCGGTGTTTAGGAGTTACTGAACCAGTTCTTGCTGCAGACAAGGATAGGTCACGACAGATAAGAGCTGAAGATCGACAACAGGAATGAGACAAAATACGACGAGGATGTTCGGGACGGAGCTTGAGCTCGCTGTCGACTGCGAAACATCATTCGTACGTAGACAGCGTGCACTCGTGACCTCTTGCAGTCGGGAACATCATCTGTCATTGTATAGCATAATAATTGCACTTTGGGCGCAGTCCATGATTACTGCGTGAACTGCTGAACACATTCAGGGCTTTCCGCGAGTGAGAGTCGCTGGGAATCCAGATACTGATGGTCAGACAGCAGTTGTTCACTCTTTTGTCATGCGACAGTATTTCAATTCTAATACATATCCTCCACTTCCTGACTCTGACGACCAGAATAACAAAGACATTGTAAATCATGAACATTTCAAAAAAAAAAAAAA